TAATTAATTAATTAATTAATTAATTAATTAATTAATTTTATTGTATTTATACCCCGCCTATCTAGTCATTTCAACCACTCTAGGCGGCTTAATATGATGCTTAATATGATGAAAGATAAACTGGAAGTCTCCACGATTTTTATCAAGAATATAAACTGAGAAGCAGCTTTCTCTGGGAAGAATTAAAGAATATTTTATAAGTTAGTTTGGAGATGGTACTTAATTCCAGTGAAATTAAATCAAATAAATGCCAATTATTCTAAGATGTGCTTGAGAGGGTACCAAAAAGCTATTACTTATTTTCATATGTGGTGGGAGCACAAGACTACATCAAAATTTTGGCAACCGGTTTTTAAGGAAATAAAAGAGAGGTAAGTTGAGCAGTTAAATACTAAAATAGTGGTTTTACCAAAATTTGAGAAGGAGGAATTTAATCTGACAACTAAATAATTGGTTTCCAACTTATTAACATTGGCAAGATTGATTATACCTAGGAACTAGAAAACAAAAGAACTGCTGGATAGCTCAGTAGCTTAGATATCCAGCTGTGGAGTCAGGTGTTGGGAGTTTCATTCCTCACTGTGCATCCCTGACAAGGTCTGAATGTGATGATCTACAGTCCCTTCCAGCTCTGCAGTTCTACTACTGTATATACAGTGGACCCTCGACTTACAGACGGCTCGACTTACAGACTTTTCGAGTTACAGACTTCTCTGGCTGCAAAATTTAGATTCGACTTGCAGCCAGAGAATCGACTTACAGACCAGAAAAAAACCAAAATGGAATAAAAATAGAATAAAAACCACTGGTTATGGGATTAATCGGTTTTCAGTGCATTGTAGGTCAATGGAGATTCGACTTACAGACTTTTCGACTTGCAGCCACCATTCCAATACGGATTAATTCCTTAAGTAGAGGGTCCACTGTAGTCCGAACACAGCAGACACAGGTGTGACAAACCCAGACCTACTGGGATATGTCACACAGTTACACTAAGCTGCCACCAACCATTCCCTTTAAGAAGTCACACAGACCAGGGATGGATTTTTAAACAATAAAAGAATAAGGTTTATTTTAAATACACACAGGGAAAAATAAAACAATCAGGTGAATAGGATAAAGTAACGTGGCTTATTCTCACTCATACAAGCATACAGTTTGGTTCACCCAGAACCCTTAACTTGAAGCACAGACCCTGAACCTATCAGTTCTGGCTAACCAACAGACACCTGAACCTATCAGGTTGGTACTCTGACACACAGAAGTACCCTGTCTGACACACAGACTCCCACAACAGCTCCTTCTTCCCAGCTGCTGCTTCGTCACATCCCAGTGTCTCACAGTGTCTCATAGCATCTCCCAGTGTGTGTCCCCTTCTCCACACACGCATCACATATTTATACAGTACAGCCCCTCCTCCTGATGTCCCGCCTTCCACTCCCCATAGGATGGAACTTTCCCTCCAAACCCATGACAGACAGGTAACACCAGTGCTGTATGTAACAACAGGGAACCAGTCTCTCAAAAAAAATATATCGTTACAGTCCTTCAGTAACTCCGGCCCTGATTTTTTTTTTAAAAGTCCTCAGTCTATTTTGTTAAACTCCTCTCACTCACGAGCTGATGATTCACTGTCGCTTGCTCCTAGAGGGCTTTTCCAGTTCTTCAATCTATATCGCCACGCTGATAATTCGTCGCCTGTTTTTCCTTCCCACAAGCTTACGCCTCCTGCTTTTATTTTCAAAGTCCCACTCAAACTAGTAAGAAGAGTCCAAACTGCACAGCATTAACAAGATTTCAATTCCTTAAAGATTGTTGAGTAATATTTCCACTGGGATTTTTTCCCCAGAAACACACTTTTTCCATCTCGCTGTCTTATCTCATTGACCTTGAGCCAGTCTGCTAGTTGTAAACTTGTTGTTTAAAAGTTCGCTTTGAGGAAAAAAAAAAACACAGGCTGGTGTGCCGGCTCGCCGCTTCCTCTCTCCTTTTGGTCAGGTATTTTCACTTTAGTTTCCTTAATATCTTAATGAGGTTATTCATAAATCAAAGACTTGCTTTGTTATTGTATATTTTTAGCCGTATTTTGTTCCCCTTCTTCAGGGATTGGGGGTGGAGTTTTCCCACAGATTTCTGCCATAAGATGGCCTCCCGTCTCCAGTCTGTGCTTGGGTGAATTTTCAGAGGGAAGAAAGACCCGATTACTGCTAAGTCTTCTACCTTCTGGGCTCACCATCTGCTTGGGGGTGACCTCTCCTGGCCTCCCCTTCCGTCCCCCTGTTTCTAGAGGGACGATGGGCTGGGCAGTTCCAGTTTTTCCCGGGAGCTGTTAGCCAGGAGCTGCTGGCTTCACTGCAGTCAAGCTCCGCCTCCTGATTTTGTTTGTTATTATAATTAAAAATTAAAAAATAAGCTGGAGATCATACACAACATTTAAAATCACCACTAAATACAAAAACAAATTACACTCCTGAAGAACTAGCTGAGCTCAAGGCACTGGATCATAAAAGTAAACCCATAAAATCAAGACATTCCAATTCCAGCTTGGTTAATGAGAGAAGCATGTTACACAGTGGCATGTTAATGCAGAGGATTTCAAGCCGTCTGAAAATAAACATTATGTCAAAGCTAGCAACAGCTGTTTGATAGAAGTGTCCCATCTCAAAGTCTTCTGCAGTATATAACTCTGAATCTGATATTAGAAATACAGTGCTAAAGATAAACAAGTATGAAGTATCACTATATCTGGTATTCAACAACATAGGGAAAATGACTGTGCTAATTGCTACATAGTGTCCACACAGAATACAAGTGTCTGTTTCAAGCACTGTAGAAGTCTGTTAAACTCTCGCAAACCTGAATTCTAAAGCAAGAGTGATCAAGAGTACAGGAAACAAGTGGAGGGTGGGTGAAATTGCTCATCATTTGAGAAACTAAAAATTAAGTCTTTCCAAATTCAGGGCAGAAATTTATTAAAATTACTGCACTGCATTAGGAATTTGGTTTAGGAAATGAGCAGCATCAGCTGACAATGGAATAATATTTATAAAAATCATCTAATTTAAAATGTTTAGAAAACTTATCATGCATCATTTCAGTGACCATTTGCAAGAATCTTAAATAAATATTCCCCACATTTCACATTAAATAGAGGTAGGCAACAGTTTTGAGAAATAGTTTCATTCCTATGGCCACTTGGTGCTTAGAGTTCAAACTTCTCATTAGTCTGGCCTTAACTGTTATGCTGCCTACTTGTACCACTATCATCACAATGCAAATCACAGACACAGTCTGTTTGGATCCAGGGACTTTCTGTTCTCACCAAGAGAGGCAAGGCTTCTTTTATTTTACTTTTCCTAAAGGAAAGAAGGTATTGGCATTTGGAAGGGGAATACTGTACATATCCGAAAACAACCTGGCTTTTAAACCACAGTAATGGGCTGGCAGGGTTGTTTTTCAATCACTTTTTTAAAAATCGCAATATCCTTATTTGTTTATAAAATAGCTACAGTACCTTTATGTGCAATACAGCTGAGAGAAAAAGAGAAGCATCTCCCTTTTAAAATATTTTATTCCTAAATTAATGATTACATTTCTTGCTGCAAACAGTTCTTAGAGCAGCCAATTCAATAAAAATTAGTGTATACAACATTTACAGATCAGACAAGATTACACAGATAAGACAAGCTTGCAATGTTTACATTCATCTGCATCCTGATGTAACACTAATGAAAACACACAGTATTCAACAGAGTACACATTACAAAGAAAAGCAGAAGCTGAACTGAATTCGTGTAAAATACATGTAAACCTTAAATATACATCTGGTGGTTTGCTTAAAACCTACTGATGAAATATTATTTATTTAGCCAAACAAGAAAGAGTCATTGAATACAACGTGATACATATCTACATAGAAGTAAGCTTGCTGAGCTCAGTAGGCTTAATTCCATTAATAGTCAACCACTTCTGTGTATTCTCTACCAAGAAAAGCCTGAAAAGGGTCACTATAAGTCAAAACTGACTTGACAGCACACAGCTATTATGATGATGTACATAAAGGACTGAAGCCTTAGTTGAACTGCAGTTTCACAATATTGCTGATCTGAATTACTGTCACTCCTATTAATTTTTGACCAGTTATACCCCAGCAGCCAAAATACAACCCTGTTCTCTATGCATTCTTCCCAAATAATATCCGGTTATAGCCTCTTAAATTTCTGTCAAGTCATCTTCAGTGATCACTAACCTCTAACTGACACAAAACCATGTATTCCCCCACTAAGGATTCGTAAATCAGTTCCATATATTGGACAAACAAGCTGCAGCTGACACTGCTGAAACACCAAAAAGTATTACTAAAGTATTTAGTCAGACAATACACCATGAGAGCCAGCCATCTGTGTCCCTCTGTTTTCCATTCGAAATCTAGGTTAGCTCTCATCAGTACAACCTGAATTGTGTTCAACAAGCAGCCTGTATGTGTCAGTCTGTCTGACCTACAGCAGAAAACACTGACAGGCTCTTGCAAAGCCTCACCTCCACCCCACAGAAGGTGTTCCATAAGGAATTAAACGGGAAAATAAGGGTAGCTGAGGGAAGAACACGCTTTTTCGAAACTCAAAGAGCACACACGCTCACACATACACAGCCACCAAAATGAGCTGTCACAACCGGACGCTGCCCGATACGACAACCTTCCTGTCTGAACCTAATAAATCCCTGAAGCCAAGGCGCCAAGAGAGGGAAACAAGGGAGGGCATGAACTTTTTCCAGCCCCAAAGCCTCCACCGTAACTCTTTATCACAGAGGAAAAGGACAAACCACGTCAAGCCTGGAGGCAGCGGGGTCGCTTCTTACCTGAGCCAGGACTGTCATGAAGCCGCCGCCGCCGCTTCTTCCCTCCTGCCCGCTCCATCTTCTGGAGGAGGCCACCAATGCCCCACTTCCGACCAGAGCAGCGGCTACGAACCAACGGCCCTCCCCGCGCCTGGAGTTCTTGAACGGGCTCAGCCCAGACGCCCACCTCCTCCCAAAACCGCAGGCAAGATACCCCCAAACCGCTCTCCAGGACGCCGCCATTTTCCCGGAAGTCTGAGAAGAGCTGAAACAACGACTAGGAACTATAGACTGTTAAATTGAAGAGTTACGCACAGCACTAGCTTCCACGTTCATTCGGGATGCCGAAATTTGTCTCGCTTCTTCTCCTCCGTGGCAAACCAACCCCATCCCCCGACGATAGTGAGACGTTGGCTACAGCCAAGAGAGAAAGGGAAGATTTTGAAGCAGCTGTGACTGGACAGTAACTACTTTTCTCTTGCTCGGCAGGGTTCATGCTTTTTGTAGCACGTCTCTTTGAAGTTCACCCTGGCCTTCCTCCAAAACACACAAGGCGGACTATTGACCCTTCCTCCTCAGATCCATTTCCCCCCTTAGGGTAGCTCCCTCTTGGAAGGAGGGGGTCATCAAAAGGAACCTGGAATCGCCACCTCTGGGCATTTACATGGCGTTCTACACTTTTCATGCCTCCATGAAAAACACAGTTTGCACACTCACCTGCTCCGCACGCACAGTCTTCATGGCCGTTGTCAGGAGGGGAGAGAAGGGAAAAAGAGTAGTTCACCCGTGGGTTGGGCAGTGGGGGAACTGGAGGTGGGGGGATTTAATGGTGTATGAGGGACACTGATAGTCACACTGACATAAATTAGGATTAAATTAATTATTGTTCAGAGCACCTGATGTTTAGCCTTTAAATTTGACCCAGAGGCTACTCAACTTTCTTTTCCCCCCCAAAAAGTCTGTCAGTTTTGATCTAAATTTGTATTTCCAAACTGGAATTATGATGAACTAAATTAGGGTTGCCAGTTGTTGGTTTAAAGTGCATAATTTATCTTCATGGTTTTAAGTTTTGATCAAGAGATTGTAAATTAACTTTAAAAACCACTTGTCGGTTATTAGTTTCAGGTTTGGAATCAGGTAGGCGAAGCATTTTTAGGTCGACCAGGGAACGTTAATCTACATACAGGAACTGTCTAGAGTGGTAGGTGAAGCTGAATCTTTATCTTAAACATTGACAAAGTGAAGTGGCACTCCACTGTAACCTGAGAACATCTAGGCTAGCCTAGGGACCACAAATGCAAATTATTTATTGATCAAAATCCTCTTGCAGAGTTGATGCTGCCAAAAAGGGCAGTGGCCACTCAAAGTGACACTGGCTGCTAACTAAATAGTCACTGCTTACATTGTGTGTGTAGTGCGCACCCATGAATCCAAGCAGTGGATATTAATTTGCTACTACATGTTATGCCATTGTCCTTCCTCCAGGATTTGATTTAATTAATGTAATTTACTACACAGGATTTGATTTAATTAATGTAATTTACACCTTTCTCCTAATTCAAAGATCCAATGTGACTTACAAAATGGGGGGAGGCAGCAGCTACAAAAACAACAAAACACGGGTACATAAATTAAAGTGTTGAAATGCAATTAAACATATTATGGCCAGCATCCATGCCATTGTCCTTCCTCCATGTAACTAACTACACAGGATTTGATTTAATTAATGTAATTTACACCTTTCTCCTAATTCAAAGATCCAATGTGACTTACAAAATGGGGGGAGGCAACAGCTACAAAAACAACAAAACACGGGTACATAAATTAAAGTGTTGAAATGCAATTAAACATATTATGGCCAGCATCCCATTGGTGAATTATATATAAATATAAAAAATAACATAATTAGCAGCACTAAATTGCTGCTAATTAATAAGAAGGCAGCTGTATTCTAGTCCACTTTGCCAAAGGTGATATCTGAAACCTACGTTCTCTGAGTGAATTCTGCAGCCTCCATCGGAACTTGCTTTGAACAAGGGATCTGGCCCACACATTTAGCCATGGATTTGGAAACTTGCATGTTCTTTCTTTACCACCCTTCACTCTGTAATGCCCAGCCTGATGAAAACCTGTGCAAAATCAAAAGCTAGCCTCTGTATATGAGAGATTTTATTGACTGAATAAATTTTTTACCATCTTAGTTTTTAAGATGCCACATGCTTACCTTTTTTATTTTTACTGTATTTTGTTTTTGCCTGACAATCCACTGTTCTCTCCCTAACCAGGTATATTTAAAGACACAAATTGGCAATCCTGCCCTGTTCTTAGTATCCAATCTTTTTGAAACGAAGTTGTCAAGTGAATTCTGATTTGTGACAGCTCTCCCAAGATTTTCTAAGTACCTATATAAAGAACTCAAATGGTCTACCAGCCTCTCCTTCTGGTGGCACTCTGGGACTATGCATTTACCAATCCTACACAAGTGGCAGGGTATGTAACCCTCATACACCTGGTTTTGGCTGACTGCTCTCCTGAGGGGGGATACAGTGGAGATTCAAACTCTCACTGGGAATAAGAACCAAAAGAGAAAATTTGTGAATGAGTTCCACATAGGTGGCTCATAACTGAAGGAGAAGGACAACTTCTCCAAATTTTGGGAAGTGTCCCCTTGTTCAGTCCATGAGCCACTCCTGAAATCCAGAATACTGAGTGAACACATTGCAGCACACTATATACAGCTCAGTGTGTTGTGCTACATGTCTGTATGGCTGACCAGACCAGATGGGTGGGATACAAATCAAATTAAATCAATCAATCAATATAATTTTTTACTATATCAGGCTGGTAAGTAGTTGCTCTTTTATGTAAAAGTTAGCTTCAGCTGCAGTTTCTGCTCTTGTATGTAGGCAGCAATCCAGCTGTCATTGGGGCACTCCAAGGGTAGAATGCCCACCATTTTCAAATGCCAGCAGGATGGAAGGGAAAGTTAGAAGTGAGGAAAAAACAGCATTCTCTGATTCCCACTCACTCCACAACTTTCCTGTGACGTGATGGCACTTTAAGTCCCAGAGTACCATCTTACCATACTTTCAGAATATGAATTCATAAATCAAAAATACAAAATGTAGCTATTATGTATTTAAAATAACAAAATATGAAATTGCACATAATGAAAGAACACAGAGGTTTTTAATGGGAAACCATTAAAAATAAATAGGAATGATTATATATTTTAAAATGTAGAGTTCCATCTAGCGTTGTGTCAGCAGGCCTCTTCTCACGCAACAGCACATCCTTCTCCAAGCAATCTGCTTCTCTAAACGATCAAGCAAAATCCTTAAATTAGAACCTAAAAGATTTGACACTCTTTTCCATAGGATTGCAGTGATAGTTCTATTGAGACCCAGTGGTATTGACTACATGCTGAAATGATGTATGTGAAATAGTTTCATCACTCCTTAAGGACTGTGTTAATTACTGGCCTGCTTATCTTCTGACACACCAAGCTAAATGCAGCAACCAGTCACATGGTCTCCCAAGTGCTCAAGAAGGCCTCATTCCATTTTTCATTCTTTCAGTCCTGAAGAGAGAAAAACAGAAGGTTTATCCAGCCCCTGATGGCTTCTCGTGTGTTGGTGGGTTACAAATTGTGCAGGTCTGTACTAGTAAAACTACCTCCCCACCATTTTATGCCACCAGCTATAAATACCAACAGCAGATTTGGGTTATTATCACCTTGTAAATAATCAAAGAAGGTTAAAATTAACATTTGGCATCATGCAAACCAACATGAGGGCTATTTAAGTTTTGAAATGTGGAAAGACGTCATCTAGTTCCATAATGTGAATGATTAGCTCTTTGATACATGATATAAATGTGGAAGGTGAGGTTTTGTCCTGAGATCTACAAGAAGGAAAAGAAGGAATAAATAAATGTAATAAAACCAGTTCAATCTGTGTTAAATTCATATTCTTTTAATTCTTAACACAGAACAAAACTTATTTATGGTAATGTCTCAGGACTGAGAGTAAAAAGGTTCTCATGTGATTTGAGTGAGACAAAGGAATGATGAGAGATGGGAAATGTTTATTCTTTAATACGACTCCCAGAATTCTATGAACAATGGCCATGCCGACTGTGGGATTCTAGGAGCAGATGTCCCTTATTATGTAAGGAGGGGGGAGCATGTGCCTGTTGGCTGCACCCTTGCAATTGCATCCCTTGTGGCCCCACGGCCATGAACAGGCATCCCTCCGTGGTTTACAGAGCTTCTGTAACCAGGTTCCTCAACACACCATGTTTAGAACAAGATTTCAACTTTAGACCTCTCCCACAACACATGCATGGTAGGAACAGACCTTGGAAAAGTTATGCTTTGGACAACACCTGGAATCACTAGCCATCATGGTGGAATCTGGTAGCTGTAGTCCAAAAAGTAATATGTCTGAGGTCAGAACAGGGGAAGGGACAGTTGAAGAATGGTGTGTCAAGTGTCCGTCACTCAAGGTCAGCCAATCTTTCTTTAACAATAGAATTGTGGTAAGATGGCTTTAGCATAGTAAGTCACAACTAGAGTAGGCCTATTTGAATCAATGGAATTTACAGAAGAGTTGACTTGCCAAATTGGATACTTCACACACACATACATATGCTTTTTATGGACTTTCATCCTCCTAGAGATTTAATGCATCTTTTAAAGCATGTAGCATTAATGAATGATCTAGCATGTAAGGGATAGCTCTTTGAACTGCATATGCAATCATACAAGTAGGACAAAGTTGCTAGTAGCTAAATCACATCCAATTTAAACTATGCTATGCAGTTCTAAGAAGAGTTTCCAAATTTATGTCCAGCAGTATGGTATCTGCAACTTCCAAGATGGTAAAGAAATATCCAAGGAGGTTGGAATGGCCCCTAGTTTATCCCTGTAATTCAAAGAGAGAGCTTGGGAGATAAATAATAAATAGGTTTTACAGTATTAGTTCTCTTAGTGCAGATAAAAGAATTGCGGAAATGTGCCATTACCACCTTCAAGCAACCCAGGAAGTTAGGATAAAGAGTGTAAATTGGAATATTTCCTATTATTACAGGGCTCAAGTTACAGGAAGCTAGATTTCGGATTAATATCACAAAACATTTCCTAACTGTTGGAGTAGCAAGACAGTGGAATCAACTACCTCGAGAGGTGGGGAGTTGTCCAGCATTGGAGGCATTCAAGAGAAGCTGAAGTCAACCACCTAGCAGATAGCCTTTGATTTGTATTCCTGCATCGAGCAGGAGGTTGGA